GACATATTGTCGGGAGGGGCCAGTCGCTTGAGAAGGATATCATGTTTGGTAAGGTGGAGGGTTGTTGTTGGTAAGTACTGTGGTGTTGGTGCCGACTCATAGTGAACCCTGCACAGGGTTTCCAAGGCTGTAAATCTTTACAGGAGCAGAACGCCTCGTCTTTCTCCCATGGAACCGCTGGTAGTTTTGAACTACCAGGTGGAGGAAGGGTCAGAGAAAAAGAAGAAGATCCCCAGGGAGATGGATTAGCCAAGTGGCAGCATCCATGGGTTCAAGTGTGGCAACAATCGTGAGGTTGGCCCAGGATCGGGCAGTGATTCATTCTGTTGTGCATAGGGTCACTATGAGTTGGTACCAACTCAATAGCACCTAACAACAACAACAATAGTGGCTTATGTTTTTTGCTCTTGTAAAGACTGAAACCCTATACTGAGTCATTATGCGTTGGAACCGACTCCATGGCACACAGCCGCCACTACTACTAAAACTTTGTGGTAATGTCCCCCTAGAATATTATTGAATCATCATCACTACAAAACTTATATATGCCAAGGTTCTAGTCTACCCAAAGACACCTTGGAAGAAAGACCTGGCAATTTACTTCCCCCAAAAAATCAATGACCGAAAATCCTATGTATGGAGCACGTTTCTACTCTGTCACACATGGGGTCACCATGAGTCAGATTTAACTTGACAACAACTGGTTTATTATACTCCAAGAATTGTGCTACATGCTATACACATATTGTCTCATTTAATCCTCAGAAGAGTTTTGTGAATTAGGTATAAGGAGTTGGCACAGCCACATGGCTTCCAGTGAGCTCTGTGGGGGCTATTTACTAGCTGTGTGGCCTTGAGCAAATTGTTCACTCTCTCTTAGCTTTCGTTTCCTCCAATAAAATGGAGCTGGTAATAATAGAACCTACTTCATAAAGATGTATTAAATGACAGAATTGAAGGAAAGGGCTTAGCGCCTGGGACATAGAAAGTGCTCAGTAAGTGGTTTCTTGTTATTCTGCCCATTTTACTCAGGGAGATTACAGAGGGTAATGCCCGTCTTCACAGCACTAGCATGCTCACACAGAATGAGCCACTCTTGGATCTCTCAGCTTAGACTTACTTCCCTAACAGAGGAGCACATGATCTACAGCCATGGATATATTTGAGTCCATTGGTATCTCAGCTTTGGGATATATTCTGTCTTTCCCCAGGACTGAGATACATCTGGGATTCTGAGAACAAACTTAATCAGGTGTTGACGGCTTGCAGGAGAGCTGACACAGGAGGTGTCAAAAGCCTTTCTCTTTCTCATGCCAGCCATTTAGTCCTTCCTTGTTCTTGCACACTCCTCTTTCTCTAAGCTAGTCATGGAAAATGATCTCTCAGACCAACACAATGTTCAGTCAAATTGGAACTGCCTTCTCATTCTGTAAGGAGCCCTTGAGTCAATTCTAACTCGTAGCGATCATTTAAGATGGAGTTGAACTGTTTCACAGGGTTTCCCACAAGGTCAGATGTTCAAGCCCACCAGCCACTCCTCGGAAACCCTATACAGGGTCACTATGAGTCGGAACTGACTAAATGACACCTAACAACAACAGCAATCTTTTTGGAGCCCTGGTGTAGCACAGTAGGGTAATCACAGGACTGCTAACTGCAAGGTTGGCGGTTCAAACCCACCAGTCACTCCTTGGAAACCCTATATAGAGTCGCTAGGAGTCAGAGCTGACTGGATGGCACTCAACAACAACAACAATCTTTATGAGAGCAGATCTCCAGGTTTTTTTCTCCCACAGAACTGCTCGGTGGGTTTGATTCACAGACTTTTTGGTTAGTAGCCAAGCGCTTAACTATTGCACCACCATGAGTCCTCATAAGAAGAAATTAATACTTATTTCATAGGGTTGTCATGAGAATTAAGTAAAGAAATGTTATCCCACTGCTGGCCACAGATGTTGTTGTTATGTGCCGTGGAGTCAGTTCCGACTCATAGCGACCCTGTAATAGGGTTTCCAAGGCTATAAATCTTTATGGGAACAGAAAGCCTCATCTTTCTCCCACAGAACAGCTGGTAGTTCTGAACTGCTGACCTTGCAGTTCGCAGCCCGATTCATAACCACTACACTACCAGAGCACAGATAAGCATGCAATAATCTTCCATGGTGCAATTTTCAACCAAACAACAGACAGGTCTATCAGAGGAACGGTAACATTAGGGAAGTATGTACACTTTAGAGTAATCAACGATTTGAGGTCAAAAAGACATCATTTACCCAAGAACAAAATTCAGAAGAGTTAGGAAAGAAGGAGAAACAGAAACCGGAAACAGGGAAGAAGTGTGATCAGTGATGTTGCATGGTGGGACTGCCGATCAATGAGATGGAACAAAATGTGTATGAATTGCAGAAAATAGAAAACTGATCTGCACTATAAGCCTTCATCCAATTCGCACACAAAGTTTTGGTTTTAAAAAAGTGCCTAATATATATTCCTCCTTATTATTGTTATGGGTACATTGTTGCAATTCTTATGGATATGACATAGAAGCATAATCACAAGCAGAAATACATACATGCATAGATAAACGGTGACACCTGAGTTTCATAAATAATGGCATTAAGGAGCTGAAGCTTAGACTGTCTTCTGGGATAGCTAGTAAATGGCCAATATTGTATTGTAAACCCTTTGGCATCATATTTTATTTGTTGCAACAGCACCACGAGGTGGTCTTTAAGAGTAAAACCACTTTTAACTTCATTTTTTAAGTTAGAAAATGTAGCTCAGAGAGGTAGAGGGATTTGCCAAAGGTTACACAGATAACTGGGATTCTTTCAAACTCAGTACTCCCTGACTCTGGACACCACATTCTTTCTACTGTTCTAAGATGTTTTTCTGCCATGGATTCATACGCAACTTATAGAGCAACAATTATGTGGTAGGCACTGTGCTAGCCTCCGGACTCATGCAGAAGCTAATTTCTGAGTTTGCCTTGATACCAGCTTCCAGAGATCAAGCAGGAAAATAGACACTGGGTACCACCACTTCTCTTACCTATTCCAAAGTCGATGGCCTTCAGGGTGTCTGCTACATACTCCAAGTCCAGAGTAAAGTAGTCCATGTTCTCAAAGCCCTGCTCTGTCTTCCCCAATTGGCAACCCTTGGAAGCTTCCACGATGCTGTGGGGAAAAGAGGGGCAGGGTGAGATCTCCAGTTTGATGCACAAAGGGGTGTAGCTAATCTCTAGTTCACTGGATTGCCTGTGCTTGTGCCCACACCCAGATTTGCACGTAGAGGCTCCCCCTAGAGGGATAGAGTATTTTCACTCTGGTTACAATGATAATGGATGATCCAAGAGAATAATAGATGCAAAGGTCAGGAAAGCCAGTCTGCGATGAGACCCTCCCATTGACCCAATATAAAATAGAAGGCCCACTGGAAAGAAATCAGAGACCCCAGTGGGAGACTAGGGGAAATACTAACCTTTTGATGAGTTGCTTGGCACTCTGTGGAGGAGGGGAAGAGAGAGCAAAGGGTTAGCACTGCAGGAGGTAGCCCCAGGAGATCAGCAAAATTGGAACTTGAGTGTTGCATGTAGGACTTTGTGCCATTTTCTAGCCCAGTGGTGATCTGTCCCCTTCCCTGAGCTCAACCTCTCTGTTTATGGTGTGCACAGGTTTTGGTCATCACCCTAGAACATTCCATGTCCTAGCAGAAAACTCAAACTCTCTAAACGTCTACTCTCAAAAATGATGACCAGGTCCTAATCATTTTTTCAACCCCAATGCATAGCACAGAGTCTGGCCCCACTAGGTAGGTGCTCAGGAAATTTGTATTGAAGTGTAAAGTTTTATAGCTGAGCCCCTGTCTGTCTCCTCCACTAGCCAATGAGCTCTTCTTAGGGAAGTACTGGGTCTTGTCGTTTCTGTATCTCCATCTTAGTGTCCAGCCCACAGTTAATTGTCTGTTCCCAGGACACCAAATTTGCAGCTCACAAAGCTATTTCACAAGCATACTCCCATTGGATCTTTATTTAAAAGTACGGTAGGGTTTGTGCAAGAGCTCTAGTGGCACAGTGATTAAGTGCTTGACTGCTAACTGTAAAGTCAGCAGTTTGAACCCACTAGCTACCCTGTGGGAGAAAGATATAGAATTTTGTTTCCATACTGATTTATAGCCTTTGAAGCCCTACGGGACTGCGTCCTACAGTGTTGCTACGGGTCTTAATTGATTCAACAGCAATCGTTTTGGGATTGTTACATGTTCATATTATAAAGAAGGCAACTTGAGGATCAGAGAGGTTTAAATGACTTGTCCAGGGGCACATAGGTGCTCAGCGGAGAAGCCAAGACTTAAACCTTAGACAGATCTAGAGTTGAAGGGACCCTGCCCAGATCCTGATCCTGCTCACCAAGAGGAAGGTAGCCCCACCAGGCTCATCCAGGGACTGGATGGCTGTCTCCACCAGCTTGGTGGACTTGTCAAGCTGCTCCCGGTACTGCTGGATGAGGGCCTCGATGAAGCTGAGCTTTTCTTCCTGATCCCCTGTGATTCGCTGCAGCAACTCACTCTTCTTCTCATCTAGGATGGCGTACAGTACATCAAACTTCTGGCTCAGCTCTTCCTTCACCTGGTGACTGTTCTCCTGAAGACAGAAATCTTGGAGTCACGTCCTGTGAGATCCTACTCCCTACCTCCAATATTTCCTTCCTGGTTTAGATGTGCCCAGGAACAAAACTCTAAAATCAGAAGAAATCTTCCTACGCCTCCAGTTTTCAGAAAAGGAAATAAAGTCTTAGCAAGAGGAAAGTGCTTGCTAAGGCTTCACAGCTAATTAGTACACCAGTAACGTTTGGAGGCTGGTGTTATGGAGAATAGCTATTCCCTCCTTCAAAAAGTAGAGACTCTAGGGTCAGATGGATGGCATTTATGGGCCTCCCATGGACCCTGAATCACATTCTTTCCCCCATTTTAGGACCAAGAATGGATCCAGAAAAGTCTGTATCATTCGGTCCTAAGAGAGGTAGAGGTAACTCCTCTTCTAGTGGTTCACTTATTGATCCCTTGTCTCCAACACAGATGTTTTACTTTGTTTCTCTGTACAATGGGTATAATAATAACATCTCATTAGATTTGAGACTCTAGTGTCCTCCATTAGACCAGGATCCTCCCATATCCCTCTCTTCCCTTTGAACCAACCCTGCACATGAGCCTTTGTCTGCCAGCAATAATGATGACTCCTTCCCCCGCCTCATCTCTAAGTCCTCTTCCCAAACAGAGATGAAAAATCATAGATATTCTTTTAAGAATGGAAAAATTTTCTTACACCCTCTACAGCCTTGATGCTCAAAGTATGGTCAATGGATTAGCAGCTTGGGCAAACGCTGGGAGCTTGCTAGAAATGCAGTCATGCCTCATTCCGTATTTACAAGATCCACAGTGATTTTTATGATTTAAAGTTTGAGGAGTGTTGGTCTACAGCATATCAGAGAACAGTGCTCCGAAAACTGTGCTGAAAAATACTGGGAATTATTGGTGGGACTTTCCCTGAGATCAGGGACCAGTGTGTCTTGTCCACCCCTCACCCCCAGCACCTCAGGCACTCTGCAAGAAGCAGCTGTACTCCAGAAGCATTTGTTGAGTGAGTGGATAAATTAAATTGTTCGTCCTTGGCTGTCCCAGGCTCCATACCCCAATCTTGAGTCACAACTCATGGGTGAGACGTCAGGTCTCACCCGAGTCTAGGCTGCACTGTTGTTAACAACAGACTCATAGCGACCCTGTATAGGGTTTCCGAGGAGCGGCTGGATGGGTTTAAGCTGCTGACCTTGCAGTTAGCAATCTAGTGTTTATCCTACAGTGCCACACCAGGATTCCACTAGGAGGCTTCAAAGCACCTGGTAGGACTCTTTTGTCCCCCTCACCTTGGTGACTCGACAGGAGTCTTCAAGCTGAGTAATGATGGTCTGCACACGGTCGTTCCCCGCCACCAGCATAGAGATACAGTTACTCAGTTCCATCTAGATGGGGGAAGGATGAGCAATCAGAAAGGAGAAACAGTGGTAGTCTCAGTGTCTGTCCGCTCTCTCAAGGCAGCCAAGAGGTACCATCACTTCCCTATCTACTGAAAAGACTCTTCAACTGGGGCCTGGTCCCTCATCCTGCCATTCAGAGCAGATTCATAACACACAATATCAGAGAGATAGTATATCCCCTTATTTTACAGATGAGGCCCAGAAAGGGAAAGTGAGCAGCCCAAAACACACAGCAAGGTACTGTTTGTTGTTGTTGTTAAATGCGGTTGAGTTGGTTCTGACTCACAGTGATCTTATAGGAGGGATTTCTTTTTAGGAGAGAAAGGGATGAAGAAAGAAATAGAGTTGGAGATTTCTAGAAAAAAGAAACCAAGAGAAGGGTGAGCAGAAGGGAAAAGTACAGGAAGAGGGGTCTTTGCTTACTGCAGGGGCAAGACAGTGGAGCTCCCACAGGTATAGGAGTCCTGGAGAGGGCTTTAAGCTGCTTCCTACTGTGAAGAGGTCTGCAAAGAAGTGGGGGTGGGGGTGGGGCTACAGAAAGAGCCATCTGGGGCCCCAAACCATGGCCTGAGAGGGCCCGGTGGCCTGGCCCTGGGGTCTGGCCTCTCCCCTGTGGCTCCCAGGTACTCTCAAGTGGCTCTCAGTATAACCCATGAGCTCATCCACCTCCCTCAAGAAGGCAAGGACTGCTGAGGGACTATTCCTGAAAGGCCGCCTCAGCAGATCTAAAGGATCAAATCCAACCCTAAATCATCAGCTGTGCCCGGCAGGCCCAGACTGGAAGTGGACGTAGTTCAAGTCAGTACCTTCTGTCCCTGGAAGACATTCTGCAGAGGGGCCACCTCACAGGCCTTGTGGGTCCCAAACACCTTGCACATGGAGCAGGTGGGCACCTCGCAAGTGAGGCAGTAGATGTTGATTTTCTCATCTTCGTGTTCCTTGCACATTGGGTGGCTGCCTTTCTGGAGGGGCCGACTGAAGGGGAGAACAGCATCAGTTAAGGGGCGTAGGGGCATCCCGAGCCTCTTCTCCCAGCTCCCTACAGAGGAGGCCATCCCAGATCTCTCAGTGCCTGCTGCTCCAAACTTTGTCTTTTATCTCTGAGGATTCAGAACTGCGGAAGCCAACTATATCAACACTATCCTGTATCCAAGAGCCAGACCCCAGGGCCAAACTCATTGCCCAGTGCAGAGGACATGGGAAAGGTCACAGAACCCCGGAGAGTCAGAGCTGGAGATGTTTGAGAGAAGTGGAAACTGGGGCCCAGAAAGGTGAATTGACTTGTCCAAGGTCACCCAGCAAGTCAGGGCAGGGTAGGATGGAGTACATGTGCGCTAATTATAGTCACCATAGCCCTTGGTTACTGTGGGCTGGGCTCTGAGCTAAGCATTTTATACTCATGGCCTCATTTATTTCTATATTTAATCCACTGGACTGTAACTTCCATCAGGGCCCAGGAAGTTGCTTGTTTCTTCATCTCCGAATCTACAGTGTATAGTGCCTGGCATAAGTAATTAAATACAGGTAGAAAGAATAAATCAATAAACATGCCATGAGGGTGCCCCATGGCTCAGAGGAAGACGCAAAGTGTCTGTCCCAAGTCACACAGCTAGGACACTTGTGACTCACATCTGCTCAACAGTCTAGCATTTGAATAGTCTAGCGATTTGTCCCCAAATTCAGAATTGTTTCCTCTCAAACACACATTCTCAGAATGCCTTTCTGCCTTTATCTTGCTATCCACTTAGGGTCTCTGGTATATTTGTAATTCTCGTGGGTCATTTACTTTTATGGGGCTTAAGTCCTACCTCCTCAGCTAGACTGTCCACTCATTTAGAGCTAACACTACATCTACTACACCATGTCTTATTGTCCAGTCCCTAACACAGCTGGTGTCTCATTAGTGTTGAAGGATGACTGTCCCCTTCAGTGTCAATGCCTCACCTCCAAACAATTTTGCATGACTAATCACATCCTAAACTGACTACCCCTTAAGTTATTGAGTAAGCTCCTTTCTAGATTTGTCTTTTTGCATCTTTAGTCCAGGGCCCTCCCTGTTGAGAAGGGTCATCTGCTGCCCATCTCTGTCCTTGGAAAAGGAAGCACTAGGATAAGAGTGGGTGCTGAGGCAGGCACACATCCTGCAGGTTTGAGGGCTTGTGCCCATCACCCTTCCTTCCAGATATCCAAACTCCTAAGCTCAGGCATTAGCATCTGGCTTCAAACCCAGATGACTCTGCCACTGATTGTTTTGTGACACCAGACAAGTGGTTTCACCATTCTGAACCTGTTTCCTCCCAGGGGGCCTACAATCCTGACAGTTGTTGGGAATGAATATGTGGTGTCTGGCACTGAACAACTTTCATTGTCATGGAATTATGTAGAAAGGTCTGGGAAGGTTCAAACACATCATGCTCTTCCTGAGTTGACACTGCTGGTTGCTGTTGCGTGAGTTCTTACTCATAGTAACCCTGTATAGGGTTTCCAAGGAGTGATTGTTGAGTTTGAACCTCCAACTTTTTGGTTCAAACTGATCTTGCATGATCCTACAGTGCCACACCAGGACTCCTAAGTTGACACTTCCTTGTTGGCAAGTCGGTCCTGACTCATCGCAACCCTGTATAGGGTTTCCAAGGAGTGACTGGTGAGTTTGAACCGCTGACTTTGTGGTTCAAATCGATCTTGATGTCCAGTGCTTTATCCCACAGTGCCACACCAGGCGTGCTAATATTTTGGAGTGATGTTGGTTTTATTATTATCATAATAATCAATCATACATTTGCATGATTGTAATGCTGAACTCTATCAATGTAGAAACAATCCAAGCTTATACAGGATTTCTGAGACTGTAAATCTTTACAGGAGCGAACAGTGTCTTCTTTCTCAATAGTCATTAGGAATATTCATTGTGGAGTAAATTCGACTGCGTTCTCTCTCAGCTTCATCACTTCTTTGCTGTGTGAACTTGGAAACCTCTGTCCTCTCTGAGCCTTCATTTCCTCACCATAAAGTGATGAGGAGAATACTTTATACAGTTATTATGATGATTAAATAGGAGTCCTGGTGTGATGCTGTGGGTTAATGCACTGGACTGCAGGGTCAGTTTGAACCACAAGGTCGGCAGTTCAAACCCTATACAGGGTTGCTATGAGTCAGAACTAACTTGACGGCACTTAACAACAACATAATGATTAAATAGGATAATGTTTGGAAACTACTTAGTACAGTGTCTATACATAATACAAAAACCAAATTCATTGACATTAAGTCAATGCCAACTCATAGAGATCCTATAGGGCAAAATAGAACTGCCCCACAGGGTTTCCAAGACTGTAAACTTTACAGAAGCAGATGGTCACATCTTTCTCTCACAGAGCAGGCTGCTGGGTTCAAACCACTGACCTTTCAGTTAGTGTTCAAGCACTTACTTGCTGTGCCACCAGGACTCCTAGTACCTACACATAATGAGTGCTTAACAGATACTTTAATTTTTAGAAACATTTCTCATCAATATCCTGCTACGTAGTCACAATAACAAATCTTACTATCCCCTTTTGTAGACAAGGAAATGAAGGACCAAAGGCCAGGGCCTGACCCCAGTGCATTAGTAACGGAGGGAGTCAGACTGCAAACACAGTTCCCCGGGCCAGGGTTTTCACTACATTTGATCTGTCACCAGTACCAGCAGACAGCTGCTTGGTAAAGGTTTGGGGCCATAAAGATTGAGGGGTCAGGCACCTGGAAGTCTTGTCAGGATGTCCTGATTGTAAAGGCCTCTCAAGTTGAAGCCTAACCCTATGAAACCTCCACCACTCACAAATTCTGCCTAAGACTGAGCTATTAGTTTATAAACAGGAAGACTTGTCCAGTCTCAGATCTTCTACCTCCCAGCTGTAAAACCTCGAGTAAATGACTCTACCTCTCTGAATCGCAGCTTCCTCATCTGTGAAGTGGGATCAAAGGTTGTGGTTGATCCGTAGGGTTGTTGTGAGGCACCAAGAAGAAGCATTCAGGTGCCTGCTGACACATGAAGGGTAACTGCTGCTGTCATTGTCCAGAACCTGGTCAAATTCTCCCTGGGCACTTGCTCTGTTGATCAGGGCTATTTAGCTGGCCCCAGTGCCTCTCTCTCCCTTTCCTGTCTCATCTTTGTCCTGATTTCTGCCTCAAGGCAGCCTGGTAACTGAATTCCTCCCCATTCACTGAGAGATACTGAGAGCTAGGGTTGAGGCATATGTTCCTCAGGCAGAAGGAAATGGCTCTCTGGACTGCTGGGTCCCAGCTGGGGCACTGACTCTTGAGTGATGAAGGAGAAAGAGAAAGAAGGGCCCCAGAGAGTTGGTGCAGGATGGCAGGGGAGTGGGGATGAGCTGACCTGGAACACTCCTGCTTGTAGATGTCGATGATGTTCTCTACCAGCAGGTTCCTCTGCAAGCCGTACACTCCGTGACGATCCATGATCACTTCATGGCGGCAGGAGGGACAGCGGAAACGGCCTCCAGACATGGACACCGAACTACCCCGGTTGGTCCAGTAGGGATTTGCAGCCTGCAGGTGACAAAGGAATAGGTGGGTCCTGGGGTCCCTGTCCAGCCTCTTCTCTTTCTAATCTCCTGCTATCCTTCCCCATTCCTGCCTACCTCAACTATTTTTGTTCAACTGCATGACTTCGAGCTCCCCATTCTGAGATAAGAACCAGCCCACCTTATATATGAAGCACTTGAGAAGCAGCTCAGCACTTAGCAAGCATTCACAGTATACACTCACTTGGGAATCAGCGAACCTAGTTTCAACTCATATTTATTTGCTGAGTGACTTTGAGTAAGCCACCTTATTTCTCTAAACCTCTGTATGCCTCTTCAGGAAATGGGCATTTTAATCAGAGCAACTTCTTAGTGATGGTACTTTGAAGATAAAACAATGAAAGAGAATTTTGTAAAGGGTCCCTGGGGAAACTTGAGTCCTGTTCCCAGCCAGGACCTTGGCTCCCATTCCTTTCTTAAGGTGATGGAGCACTGCCACCCCCTAGATTACAGGGACCAGCCCTACTCCGCAGTGCCTCCCCATCACCCTCCTCCCAAAGCTCTGGGCCCTTGCCCGCCCCTGCAGAGCTGGCTCCAACTCTAGGGGTCTGGTTTCTCTCTCGCCTCAGCCTGCCTCACACACTTATCTCTTGAGGCATTTGATTCTTGATTGGAAAGCCAACTGCCACGCTCCCTGCAGGGGTGGGGGAGCTGTGGGTCCCGTAGAGAGGGGAAACATGTCATGGAGAGAATGTCTGGAGCAGCTAGAGCAGCCTCCCCAGCACTTCTCAAATGAGTCTGGAGGCCTCTCCTCAGGGCTCATTTTGAAGGGGTCAGAGTCAGCCACAGTTTGGAAAGGTCCTGGGCTAGGGGAAGCGGGTTTCATCCTAGGGAAACTGTATAGCCCTCTGGGGTCCCAAGACTAGGCTATGCCTGGTACTGACCTGGAAGATGTCATTGGCACACTTCCGGCAGAGGTTGTGTTGACAAGGCAAGATGACCACAGGCTTGGTAAACATCTCCAGGCAGATGGGACAGATGAGCTGCTTCTCCAGGTTCTCCATTGGGTTCCCATCCTGGATCAGGCTGGATTTATAATCCATACTGTCAGGAGTTGCAGGCCTATCCAACTGCCTCCTTCACCTGCACCTGGCTCTGGGGGAGACCTGGAGCTCTTGCCTTTGTTACAAAACACCCTCCCGCGGAGCCTCTTTGACTGCTTCTTCTGGCGTCCGAATTCTTTCTTTGTCTGAGGCCCCTCTGATATTTATAGCAGGACCCCAGTCACATGAGTCTGGGAAGGGACCAGCTGAGCATTCCGATGCCAGACGACTGGCGGAGCTTGAGTCTCCTCCAGGCCTGGAAAGCTCACCCTCTAAAATCGCACGTGGGGATGAGCAATCACTGTTCTCTGGGATGGGGGTCGTAAACAAGAACAGCTTGTTCAAAAGCAGGTGTAGGGGCGGACTGAGTACCCAGTTTCCTCTAGAAATTGGTCTCCCCCAACTCCAGGCTGGAACCCATCCAGGGAGCCACTGGGATTCAAGTGGTTAATAGACAATTCCCCTCAAAGATGAGAGTGACCCTCTGACCGAAATCAAGTCCTTTTCCTCCTCTTCATCCTTCTGAGCCCATCTACCTGACTTGAACCTAAGCATAGCATTTTTCTGGAGACCTTGGAGACCCCATTTATCTCTTAATGGAGACCCCATCCTTCCATCTGATCTTCTTGAGTCTTGTAGACCCTCCCTCCATCCCTTAGCCACTAATTCCACTTCCATGCTGAATGGGCTTCCTGGAGCTCATTCAGTCCTCTCATTTTACAGATTTAAAAACTGGAATCTAGAGAAAGAAAAGGACTTGTCGCTTCAAAAATAGATGGCTAAGTTAGGAATCTTATTAATTCATTAAACATTTTTCTGGATATACTCTTACATTAGGCATCAAAGTGACAGGTAGCTGAGTAATCCCTTTCCCTGCCCTGAAATAACTATCATGTAGTGTCACAAAGTTCCTACCTAGATCCATAGACGTTATTCATATGCTGCCCTCTGCACACATTTTAGATTTTCTCCATGTCCTTCTGGACATCTTCTTCCATGTTGGCAGGTGGTTTTGTTATTAGTTGACATCAAGTTGGCTCCAACTCATGGTGACATTACGTATAACAGAATGAAACCTTGCCTGGTCCCGCACCATCCCCACATTTGTTGGTCTGCTTTAGCTCATTGTTGCAGCTCTTGTCAATCCATCTCACCAAGTGTTTCCCTCATTTTCATTGACCTTCCACTTTATCAAACATGATGTCCTTCCCTAGTGATTTATCTTTCTTAATGATGTGTCTAAAGTAAGCAAGACAAAAGTCTTACCGTCCTTCTAAAGCACATTCATACTGTATTTCCTTCAAGACTGATTTGCTAGTACTTCTAGCAGTCCACTGTACATTCAATTTCTTTGTCAACATCACAATTCAAATGCGTCAATTCTTCTTTGATCTTTCTTTTTCATTATCCAGCTTTTGCATGCATCTGAGGCAACTGAAAAGACCATGGCTTGGGTCAGGTGTGCCTTAGTCATCACAGTGACATCTTTGCTTTTTTAACACTTTAAAGAGATGTTTTGTAGATTCCCCTAATGCAATATGTCTTTGATTCTTGACTACTGTTTTCATGAGTATTGATTACTCATCCAAGTCCAATGAAATCTGTTACAACTTCAATTTCCATCAATTCCCAGAGCGCTGGTTTTCTCCAATGATTTATGAGCAGATTGAAGTTCTTCCTTCAATACCAGGGGTTCCCGATCACATGTTCTTTCCTGAAATGGGTGAACACTGACCAACTCTTTTTTAGCATAATATTTACTCCTTCCACCTTCCTTTGATGCTTCCTACATCATTCAAGTTCTTTGTGCTCATTGTTATTAAGTGCCATCGAGTCAGTTCGGACTCATTTTACAGAACCACCTAGAATCCTTGAATATTGCAATTTAGGCTTGAATTTTCTCTTTAGTTCTTTCAGCTTGAGCAATGCCAATCATGTTCCCTTTTGGTTTTCTAACTCCAGGTCTTTGCATGTTTCATTATAATACTTTTCCTTGTCTTCTTAAGCCATATCTTGAAATGGTTTGTTCAGCCTTTTTACTTATCATTTGTTCTGTTTGTTTCAACTACTCTGTGCTTAAAAGCAAGTTTCAGAGTCTCTTCTGACATCCATTTTGGTCTTTTCCATTTAATAACCTTTTACTTTTGTCATGTATGATATCCTTGATGTCATCCCACAACTCTTCTGGTATTCGGTCATTAGTCTTCAGTTTTTCAAACCTGTTCCTCAGATGGTCTCTAATTTCAGGCAGGTTGTACTCATACGGTTGTGCTTGGGTGCTCATAGACTTGCTTTGATTTTCTTCAGCTTCAATTTGAATTAGCATACAAACAATTGATGGTCTGTTTTGTGGTCAGCACCTGGTTTTGCTGTGACCCATAATATTGAGCTTATCCATCATTTATTTATGCAAGTATAGTAGATTTGATTCCTGTGTAATCCATTCACCAAGGTCTACATGGATAGTTTGTGTTGTTGAAAAATACATTCCTTATGAACAAGTTTTTGGTCTTGAAGAATTCTCTCATACAGTCTCTGCCATCATTCCTATCATCAATGCTGTATTTTCCAACTACTGTTCCTTTTCCTTTGTTTCCAGACTTTACATTCCAATCACCGGTAGTTATTAGTGCATCTTGATTGCATAATTGATCTGTTTCAGGCTGCAGCCGATCAATAAAATCTTCAATTTCTTAATCTTTGGTATTTGTGTTTAGTGCATAAATTTGAGTAGTAGTTATATTAACTAGTTTTCCTTGTTAGCATATGAATATTCACTTATCACTGACAACAAACAGAGTACTTCAGAATAGATCCTAAAATGTTCTTTTTGATGACAAATTCAACACCATTCCTCTTCAATTTTTTCTTCCCCAGCATAGTAGACCATAAGACTATCAGATTAAAAATGGCCAATATCAGCCCATTTCAGTTAATTAATGCCTACAATATCGATCTTGAATCTTTCTATTTCATTTTGTTGACTTCCAATTTCTTGGTTCATACTTTGTACATTTCACATTCCATTTACTAATGGGTGTTTGTAGCTGTCATTTCTCATTCTGAACCATGTTGGCAGGTAGAAGTCCTTAAAGCAGTTCCAATGACTATTTTCAGGGTAGAAGTTCATACAAAAGGTCTTTGGAACCACCCTGTGTAAAGTGCTAGGGCAGGAGAATGGGTGGATTCAAAAGCATAGGCATTGGACATTAGGATGAACCTCAGAGCCCATGAAGCATATAGGAGGAGTATCAAATCAGCAAAGAGGTGCAATATGAAAGTAGATTGGATCACCTCAGTCCCAAGAAGATGTAATAATTCAAGTCATGAGACAAGATCTAGCAAGGACAGAGGATGCATCTTTGGGAAAGAAGGAAATGGGGTGGAGGTGGTGGGAAGAGATAAGGAGCATACCTAAGAAAGGGCAGGAGAATTTCAAAGGGAGGATGCTGTTGTTGTTGTTCCAACCCATAGCGACCCTGTATAGGGTTTCCAAAGAGCGGCTGGTGAGCTACAACCGCCGACCTTGTGGTTTAAGCCAATTTTGCAGTCCAGCACATTAACCCACAGTGCCACACCAGGACTCCAAAGGGAGGATGGTACCCATAAAATGTTAATGTCAATTTATGCTGAACATTAACTATGTGCTAGGACTGTGCTTTATATGCATTATTCCATTTCATCTAGATGCAATATTTCATTCCATCATTTCAATAATCAACAGTGTAAGAATCATTATATCATCATTCCACAGATGAGGGAACTCAGGCAAGGAGAGGCAAAATAACTTACATGTGGCCACACCACTAACAAGAGATAGATCCAACACATGAACCCAAACCCCTTACCTCTCTACTGAATGACCAGTCAACACTGCCAGACCAGCCAACAGACAGAGGAGGATGAGGATAGAGAAGAGCTCTTCCCTGCTTCCTTGCTCACAAATATTCAGGTTTTTGTTTGCTTGTTTTTAGACATAGGTAGCACTATACTCCAAGAAGAACAATGCTTCATTCTTGCCTTTGAACAGAGTTGTGAAAGGATGTGACAACCACCACCTTGCAACATGGGGTACAAATCCCAGGAAGAAATCAGCCCCCTATAGAAAGCACCTGGGTCACATACCCTCATTGCCCTGCCAATTTATTCAACCCTGAAGCGGCCTATTCTGGACTACTTAAGATGTGAATCAACAAATGTCACCATAATGTTATTCTATTACTTACAACTGAAAGCATCCTATATTCATACATTCACGATTGTAACTCCTATATGCCAATGACTCTAAAATCTCTATTTCCAGTTCAGATTCTCTACCCTAAGGTGGAGATTTGTTGGAGATTTCTACTGACATGTTCCAAGAGCACATAAAATTCATCATAACCCAATGGAACATGCTACCTTGCCCACACCAAGCTCTTCCTTCCGTTTTCCTTGTTTTGGTGAACAACACTACCATCATCTATTTGCACAAACCAAAAAACTGGAAGTCATCTTAGGGCTCCTCCCATTGTACACCCAGTCAATCTCTTCATCATAACTGGCATCATCTTTGTGTCTCATTTGTCATATTAGCATCATCTGTGAGTCAGATTCCAGACTTTGAAGACCTGTATATACCTGTCACTATTCATTTCTGTACCTCCAGTGCCCAACACATAGTAGGCATTCAATAAATGCTTCTTATAAGAATTGCTGAGTGAATGGATGTGTTAAACAAGGGGCAGAAAGTTTAGAGGTGATTAAAGTACTTGACTAAGTTTTTTTGGCTGAGATAATGACATCAGTGGAGACAGCACTGGAAGCTGGGGAGGAAGGCTGAAGATCAACTTTTAGAGCCTTGGGAAGGAGGAGGAATGCTCCCCACTATGAGTTAGGGGAATGGGAAAAAGGCAAGAATGGAGGTAAGGATGAGTGGTGTTGGGAGGAAGAGAAAGAGGTCCTGATATTTGATGACCTCAGTCAAGAGGGAATTGGAATCAGGACTGACTGTGAGGGTTGGAAATGTAAAGGTAGACATTTTGTAGCAAGGAGGGGAGTGATTAACTTTTCAGTCTAGGAGTGGAGGTCCATGGGACCATCAAGGGAGAAGAGCGGAGTTCGGGACCCTACCCAGAGAAGCAGTGATACCTGAGATG